GAAACACCAATAATGTCTTGGTGGTCCAGACTCTCGTATTATATTAGGGTAGTGTGTCAAAAAATGATGTTTAGACTTTAATGTATCGTTAAAGAGAATACAGTATGCAGAATTGTGATCTTTAATTAATTGTTCAAGATAATTTATAGAGCTTTCAGTAAATTATTAGATAGTAATAAATCAACTATTTTAATTAGAATCAACACAAACTTCCATACCTCATCATCTTCAGGGATTAAATCTCCTATCATGATAGGAAAATAATGTACAAATGTCATAATTTCACGGGCAGACATTTTCAAATGATACTTTTGTAAATTAAGTAAAGTAATTGTTGGTGAAATATTACCAATTTCAATAGGGCCATAGTTAAAAGTACTTTTACGGTTGTTAAACGTTTCTAAAGAAAATAACTTAGCAGTTTGTATATAATATAAAAGTACATGACATATATCATAATGGCATATACCTTCAAAAATATCGTGCATGATATCAACACAATAGTTAGTAACAACATGAAAATTAGATATTTTGTTTAAAACCGACTCTTGATAAATTCCAGTATTTATAAAATTATTTGTATTAATATCATTATAATAGTTATCAATTGTACGCATTAGTTGCTTTTTTCCACAAAAAGTTGTTTTGCTTCAGTTTTATTGACTTTGCAAAAACGACAATAGTAATTGGCTGAAAACGATTTACTGAATTCAAGTATAGACGTATAGTGTTTAAACCTAAATTATCACCTAATATAAGTCCTAGGATAAAATTCACATGAAATTCCCCATTTTTGGTTGTTATTATAATTCCTTCTTTTTCAAGGATATTTATTTAATTTATTAAATGTTTTAAACATGGTTCATTTCCAAATTGTTTATAATCTCTGGATTTTATCAAAGCTGCTAGGAAAATACTTGAAAGTTTAGAACTGTTTTCTTCAAGTGGAAAACTGTAATATATGGCAGAAATTGATTGGGCCATTGAATGAGACCCTAAAGGGTTATTTATTTCTACATCATCTATGTACAAAAAAAAAGGAAAAACAATTTTCCCAGCATACTGAGATGATTTTCGTTTCCAAAGGTTTCCTTGCACAAAATGAGAGATATTGGAACTATCATTTTTTAACAAATTGAGTTTATTTGTGAAATTATTATAGTTATCACCATATTCAATATATTTTTTAAATTGTTCATTTATAGGTAAAAGAACTCCTTTGGTAGTATTTTCGTCATACATTGTTTCACCAGAAAGCTGAATTATACTAATTTCATTATAAATTGTAAATTGTAACAAATTAGTAATATACTGATTTTGACTTAGCCATTTTTCTAAGCGATATTCTGTATTATAATACTGAAAAGGATTTGAAAATACAGTGGAAAGTTTAATTTTGATTTAACTGTGGGATCTTCTACTTGTGCTTCATTCAATTTAGTAAGCATTAATGCCATTGGTTTGGTTGGATTATCAACTATACCGGTTTGAATTTTTGAAACATCTTTAATTGAAAAATTATTATTATTGTGCAAACTCACAATAAATGTAATAGCTGATTTATACAAAGCATTAATTGCAACATCTAGACTTAATGAATTAGATGATTCCAAGCAGATGTGTTGATTTTCTAGTATGGGTGTTTCAGTGTTATTTTCTATAACATTTGTATCACTATTTACATTTGTAATAATATTATGGACTTTATCTGTACAACTATCAGGAATGTGAGAAACATGTTTATTTGAAACAAGTCTTTTAAAGCTATTTAGACATTGAAAAAACTGATGACAAGATTCTTCTAAACATTCGTATGTATTGTGTGACTTCAGTGAATGAAATATTTTAAAATGAACCACCATTAATTTAAGGGTAGAAAATGTTGATTTACAAACAAAACAAATCATTTTAAATAAAATTAACTGACAAAAAAAAAGAAGAATGAATAGAAAAATAAGTGAATTGTGTAGTTTAACTATACTAAATTCAATCAATCATTGCAAATCCAACCTATAGAAAAAATGAATACCTGAGTTAAAATGATGACCAAAATAGACTTAATTAAAATGAAATAACTAATTACAAAATATAAAGATAAACAAATAGGTGCTTAAATACAAAAATAATAAAATACATTTCTTTTTTTACTCAAAATTAATAGTTAAGTACTATAAAGTATTAACATTTTTAAATATTACTAAAAATAAAAATAAATTATAGCACCTACCCGGTTACCTATATAATATACTATAGTTTTTTACTAATACATTTTTATATTAATATATGATATTGATAAAAAAAAACTGGCACTGGCTTCCATTTAATTACCTTGCAATTTCGAAGAATGTTGCGACCGTATATTTACGTATATACTATATATATTATAATTATTACCTCGGTAGGTAAATATGCATTTTTATGTAAATTGAATAATACTATACAATGTTGTGCTAATACCTATCGTATTTAATATATCACTAATGGGTAATTAATTATATGTACAATTTAAATAGTTAAATTGACACACTACGTGATTCACTGATTTACACGTCAGGAATGTTTTAAATTCATTAACGGAATGAAGACTGACGAATGACAACTGACAAGATCTACGTTATTTCCAAATAAGTATTTTTCAAATTGTTTTATATTCACGGAAAATCTGTAGGTATATGTTTAGATAGTTAACAAAGGCAGGGGGATATGCTGTTGTTTTCAATCATTCACACACAAACAGCCTTTCAGTTATAGGTACCTATTGATAATATGGCTACACACGAATTGCGTCCCGAAATAAAAAAATTGATAAGCGGGTACACGAATTGCGTCCGGCATTATCTAATCTACTGCATGAATTGCGTCCGGTTTTGTATGAACGATTGCATGAACGATAAACGTACTGTAAAGCCTATAATAATTTTAGTTCGATTTCGATCGTGTTGTTGGTGTAAACGTTTGTTTTAAAATTCAAACGGTTGGTTTAAGTCAAGAATACAAAAAAAATTCAGATATCAGTATTTTTTTAAAATATTTTTTTGGTCTCCCATTTTTAAAACCAGATGAAGTGGAGGATTGTTTTACTGACGATATTGTATCCATTTTACCCGAAAATGAAAAGTACAGCAATTTTCCGATTATATATTAAATACATACATAAAGCCTGATTGTGACTTCCCGCCTTCTGTATGGGCAATGTACTCATGTTCTATAATTCGAACTACGAATAGTTGTGAAGCCTTCCACTCCAAGTTTAACAGTATGTTTTACTCAGCACACCCGAATATATTTCAATTTATAGATGTTTTAAAAAATGTACAAAAAGAAACTTATATTAAACAACGAAGTATTCATGTAATTAAAAACAGACGAATGATGGTATGTGAAAAAGAAAATTCACTAAGACAAAATATGGCAAAATATGAAAGTGGCCAATTAACCCGTCTTGATTATATTAAGAAAGTATCATTCAAGTTTTTACCAATTTTTTAATTTTATAATTATAACTTTTTTTTAACCTACCGATAGTCGTAATTTGCTAACGACAGTCCTAAGTCTGTATGAAATGAGAAGGAAAATAATGTTTTTACGTTGGGACGCAATTCGGGTAGTTCTTAAATATGGTTGGGACGCAATTCGTGTAGTCGTTAAATATCTTTGGGACGCAATTCATGTGGAAAAAGGATTTCGGGACGCAATTCATGTGCAGCGGATAATATTATAAACTAATATATCTTTCAAATCTATGTCTCATAAAATTCGTAAAATTAATGGGTTTTTATTTAATTATATGTGCACACACCACTGAATAAAGTTGAGTGGCACACACTCACATATTAATATGTGCCCAAGTAGGTACTATGCACATTAAGGTATCTCGATTCCCGTCATCGGTAATCACTCAATCGTTAGTTACTCATTACTCATTAGATACCTACTTTTTCGCAAAATATTTTGACATTTTGCGTATAATATGATATAATACTATACAGAGATAATACTAAGTTGTGAAAGTTGATAACCCTGCAGTTCCGTGTAAAGTATAAAAATTATTAATCGAAGTTAATACTTACTCTTTCCTAGCTAAGAAATGCGCTCTCACCTATATTGGGTCCAGAAGGTTTTAGTTTCAAGTCCTCAAAAGACTTTATAATAATCAAGACAGCTGACTGCGCGAATCAGCTCAAGGCGGCAGAATATCTCGCTAAAACGAATTTTTCATTTCATACCTTTCCACCACACTGCGACCGTCCAATTCAAGCGGTTATTCGTCACCTGCACCACTTGATCCACGTCGATGATATCGTGACAGCTCTAACGGAATGGATTTTTCCGTCCTAGGTGTTCGCCCAATTCTTAATAATTTTACGAAAAGTCCATTTCCTCTGTTTTTAGTGAGTCTTGAACCAATTGAATCCAGTCATAACATTTTTAAAATAACCAAGTTACTAAACTCCATAATCGCATAAATTTTGAAGGGGGGGGGATAATTTCTAGGAACAAATGTTGGGGGATTATAAAAACTTCAATGGCAGGGGGGGGAACTCCACCCCCCGTGAGTATACCCATGCTTGCAATGGTATAGAAAAATGTTTCTAAGACGTTGAGATATTTATAAGATGTTTTATTGGATGCTGATATAATGATATGTAACATAAAAATAACCTTACATAAAAACAGGTACACAATGTTTAACAAACATTTGTAAGCGCGTTTATTAGAACTGCGACTTAAATCGTATACGACGTTATGACCTTATGACGTTATGACGTTTTGAAACATTAAATTCACGGTGGGTAATTACTAATTTCGTCTAAATTTAAACTTTAAATATCTAAAAAAAGACTGTGTTTATATATTACAATTTAAAATTACCAGTACGCGCGAGGGAAGTGAAACTTCTTTTGAACGGTACACGTGAGTTAATATTAATTAATTTAAAAAATGAGAGGAAGTTATCCGGAATTAACATCAGCTATTGACAATATTGAACTGGCTCGGAAATGGTGCACAACAACATGGTACTGGAGCTACACATGGAATATCAACTTCATCTGTCAGTAGATGTTTTCAAAGGGTTGTTGATGCAGTTTTTACCCATATGTTTTCAGATATTGTTAAGTGGCCTAATAATCCCGTTAAAATATCTACGATATTCCTTGAAAAAGGTGGGTTTCCAATTTCTATGTGTAGCTGGCTGTATTGATGGTACGTTAATAAATATTGATGCACCAAGTACAAACGGAGAACCGTTTGTAGATAGACATGTCAACCATTCAATCAATGTGACTATGGTTTGTGGTCCAAACCATGTATTTTATGCAGTAGATGCAAACTTGCCTGGAAGTGTACACGATGCCAGGGTATTAAGAAATACTAATATATTTGCTGAAGAAGACAGCTTAAAAGACACACTGGATCAAGAAGAGGCCCCAAATGTTGGTGCTATAATGAGGGTTAACACATTATTGGACTATTTTAGACAAAGGTTATAATTCTAGTTATAATTGTAATAAAATATAACTAGCTGCTATTATTATTATTACTGCTACCTATTTACATTAAGAACCTTTACAAATATAGCAAAATTCACATAGGTTAATCAATGCAGATAACTTTCAACATTTAATAATTTATATATACCTACTTAAATAAATTACACAATTTCCAACATTAATTCTTTATTTAAATATTATAATTACAAATTAATATTTTGTTTTAATATTCAAGTATAGACGTATAGTGTTTAAACCTAAATTATCACCTAATATAAGTCCTAGGATAAAATTCACATGAAATTCCCCATTTTTGGTTGTTATTATAATTCCTTCTATTTCAAGGATATTTATTTCATTTATTAAATGTTTTAAACATGGTTCATTTCCAAATTGTTTATAATCTCTGGATTTTATCAAAGCTGCTAGGAAAATACTTGAAAGTTTAGAACTGTTTTCTTCAAGTGGAAAACTGTAATATATGGCAGAAATTGATTGGGCCATTGAATGAGACCCTAAAGGGTTATTTATTTCTACATCATCTATGTACAAAAAAAAAGGAAAAACAATTTTCCCAGCATACTGAGATGATTTTCGTTTCCAAAGGTTTCCTTGCACAAGATGAGAGATATTGGAACTATCATTTTTTAACAAATTGAGTTTATTTGTGAAATTATTATAGTTATCACCATATTCAATATATTTTTTAAATTGTTCATTTATAGGTAAAAGAACTCCTTTGGTAGTATTTTCGTCATACATTGTTTCACCAGAAAGCTGAATTATACTAATTTCATTATAAATTGTAAATTGTAACAAATTAGTAATATACTGATTTTGTTAAAAAAAAACGTTTTCATTAAAAAACTATATTTTTTAAATATTTTTTATCCTTATAATATTTTTCTAAGTATTTCGATACATAAAAATCGAACTTAGGACGAGTAGTTTATGAGTTATAAGTATTTTAAGTTTAGATGGGCGGAGTGGAGTGGTATGGGTTTACCCCGCAAAATGTTTATCCACTACTCCGCCCATCTAAACTTAAAATACTTATAACTCATAAACTACTCGTCCTAAGTTCGATTTTTATGTATCAAAATACTTAGAAAAATATTCTGCTTTGTTATATGAAATTAAAACTCTATGCTGTCATTCAAAAAAGTAAAAAACTTAAAAAATTATAAGGATAAAAAATATTTAAAAATATAATTGTTAAATGAAAACGTTGTATGTTTAACAACTTAAAACTATTTAAAAAAAATATTTTCAAAAACATTAATACTTTTGAGATAATGAGTGTTTTACGCTTAATCAATCACCTTGTAGTGTTAAAAAATCACCTTGTGGCTTGTATAAGGATTTAAAAGTGACAGTTTTAAATACCGATAATTAATAAGTTATTTAAAATACCATATTTACCAATCATTCGACGGGTAAAAGGCAAAAGATGATAAGCGACGACATTTGAGGGCTAACCAACATAGCAACATAACCGTCTAACTACAGGCTTTCCACAGATTATCTGTTTCATAAATAGTGAGTATTCCTACTATACTAGAAAATATCAAGACACAAAAAGAACCAAACAAGTTGAATTATAAAAGGCAAATATTGCACTATATACAAAGCAGTTAATAAGTAGGTATTAGACACTAGTATGGTAATGGTATTAGGTAATGGTAATGGTGTTTAAGCAGCATAAATCAATATATTAAAAACCAAAATTCACTATAAAAAGCAATAATAAATATTACTAACTTTACATTGCTGCTTTAAAACAGTTCTAAATCCACAGAATTGTATTTTTACTATGAAACAAAATAACTCAAAATATCAGTAACTAAGCACGTATGCGTGGTCTAAAACTGTTAAAATACCACCATATAAACGTAAAAAATAATTCAAAATAAAAACCCAAACATGTAATATTTAATTACTAAATTTAATATACAAATTTTTGTCCTTGAATGATAATCGTTATCATGAATGGTAACTGTTAACTCTTTCCAGCACAGGGTGACCAATGAAAATGATACCTTAGATGCCTGGCATATTTTTGGTTTTTAATTAATTAAAAAAAATTATTCAATAGTAATAAATATTGATAAATTCGTGCCATCTGGTTTTATATGAACTAATTTAACTTTTATATAACTATCAGCACCGCTAACCACTATCGATAAAACAATTTAAATGTATTTTAAAAGTGGTTGGCTCCACTAACCACTTTGCAATAAGCAGAAAAAGTGAGTGGTCAGCTTTACTAAAAATCATGCCGGGATGAGTTAATACTTTTAAGTACCTTTTGTTTAGAATCCAAAATTTCCACACCATGGCTGTCCATTGGTACAATTTTTTTCATTTGGTTTTCAAGGACAAGTCATCTTATATTAAATGAAGCTTATATAAAAAAAAAAAACAAGCAAATAATAATCACTAAAAAGATCTATTGAGTTATTTAAATTTTCAAGCGATAGTACTTCAACTTGGTCTTCACAGTTCACACAAACCTTCGGTAAATTTTGAAGGGGAATACCTAAATCCCGCTCTAACTTTATGCCTGAAGTTTCCTTATATTAATTTCTATTTGTATAAGATCAAGTTTGTCCTTGCCAATTTCATCTTCTACCTTCTTCTTTTTAGCTAAACCTTCATAACCTGAAAATAACCAGTACATTATAAACCTCATAAAATGAATAAGCATATTAATTTTGCAATGTCAACAATTATATTGCGTTAGGTGTAAAAATGAAAATGTGGTTTTTTAAAAACGAGTTATACCATTTATCATATTTATTTTTAAATTGTTAGATTTTAAGTAACAATTGTTTATAAATTATTTATAAAACTTGATAATTTAAAAATTTAAAAATAAACAAATTAATTTTTTGAAGAAAATACAATTTTAGCCCAACATACAGAAATAATAATTTACTAAGCTACTATTCAAATTCAAATACTAATTTTTACCTTCGTGTTTAAGCTTAACTGACTTAGCATAATTTTTAACAGGTGTTGCGGTTTAAATGAAAAATTTAAACAATAAATAGGTGAACATAAATAGACTATTATTTATCTTAGAATTTCATTAACCATATTTTCATTATATCTAACATTGGTTATTCTAGTTGTAGGTATTATGAGATTCTTCGTTAATTAATGTTTCTAAAGTAGAATAAAAAAGAAAATTAACTAATATGTCAGTAGGTATATAACATTTAAAAAAAAATACTATACTTACCTACTCAGTACTTACCTTTGAATTTTGATATTCGTAAATAATAAGTAACATTAATATATTATGATTCTCCATTTCATCAATCACCTTGAATATTAATAGGTAAATTATGAATAAATCAATAAACTATTCCACTTATTTGTCCAAATTCCATATTTATCACATAACAGTAAAAAAAAAGTTGTCTACACCAGAAGGTACACTGCAAAAATACGGGTATCAAAATATTATATAGGATTTATTTTTAATAACATTATATTGAATTTAACATTACTTTTGTTAATAATATATAGTATGGTTATTTCGATAACAATATTTTGTAATTAGTACAATGTAATATTGATTAAATTGATTAAACTTTTTGCAAAAATTAACAAAAACCCTATTGATTTCAAAATGCTTTTATAAATTGAATGACCTGTCTATTAATTCAATGTTTTTCTTTCTTAAACTAATGTTTGTGTGTATCATTAATTATACTGATAGTATTTGTTGATTTTACCTATAAATTCTCTTAACTGAATAATATATTTTTCAAATTAAAATAATAATTCTTATTTTAACATATTATTATTTGTTAATAAATGAAAATTAAGCATTATTGAATTTACTAATGAATTTTCGTTCAGTGTGGCTCCGGTCCGGTAAAGCACGATTCCGTACGTTTAACATTTTTGAGAACAAGATTCCGTACGATTTTGATCGAACAATGGAATGTCAAATTAACCCCCAAAACAACACGATTCCGTACCATTTTATGTGCAATGTTGCCATTTATTATATTTATTTTCAATTTGTTATTTATTTGATTGTCAAGAAAAAAAGTTGATGAAAATTTGCAAATAAAAATATATGTAAAAATTTGTCAATTCAAAATATAAAATGTACGTATGTAACATATAAAAATATGTAAAATAATAATAATTCGATACCTTGGTACCTACTTGTTTCAAATATTTGATTATATTTTTGTGAATTAAATATTTTTTATATTCGTTAATTGTGTGGTATAACATTGTTTGTCAGCTAAGGCCATTTCATTGAAACGTCCTTTGGATGCTGATTTTATTTTTGTGCAAGTCTCTTGTTGTCTACGCATTGTATATAGTTATTATAGTATTACCGAGGATTTCCTAACGGCTCTTGAGCCCAAATTGCTGGTGGAAATAAACAATCATTTTCTACGTAAGTATGCAATATATAATCAGAAAATAAGCATCCTATATCTATATTTGGAAATATAGATACAAGTTCAACGAATGCATTTTCGATGTCATGTGGTGGTACGAATTTCAACCCGAAAAATAGTTTTAACCATTTCCTTAACTCGTTCGTATATGATGTTCGGAGTTGCTGCTCAGAATTTATCTGTAAAGTTAATACGTTTAATATTATAATTTTATTATGTGTATATTTATCATATATTTTAAGCATAATTACTTTTCGCCACCAACACTGTCCTAAATTAAATGCTTGAATTTCCACATTTGGGAATACCTCTCTACATGCTTCATGAGCGCTTATCTCAAAGTCTAAATGTAACTTCCGAATAACAAGTCTTTTGAAAATTTGTTTTTCACTTAATTCCTGAAGAAATATCCACATGTCAATGTATGTTTGTTTGATTTTTCAGGCAAGAAAAAATAAGCCACGGGTATATATTATCCATTTTTTAAACAATTAATTGTATAAAGATGGATTTAATAGTTTGGCGCATAATTAAAAGTACCATCAGCAAAAAAATCTGATGAATCAACCATACATCTTAGATTTTGCTCTGTAGTAATACAAACAAATAATTTGTTTTGGGGTACAAAAACAAATTGGCCACCTTTAGATTTATGTACATCATTATTTTCTATACTTTTAAGCTGTTCAATTTATTCTATTACAGATTTTGGAAAACCCGGATAAATTTGTCGTCGATTATCGTAGGTACATAGCTTTTCTGATTGACCGTATATCTCTATGTTCAATTTCTGAATTAACGTTTTTTGCAAGTTCTGTTTGAACTATTTTTATAGGTCGGAGAGAAATAGAACCACTTGTCTTTCGTTCACAGTTTTCTCTCAAAACTTGTCTTTTAAGACTTTGGACTGAATTTTCAGAGTGTTTATGATCATTTGCTGTTTCATGGAGTAAATTTCCGTTCGTCACAATACTAGCGTAGCAAAATGTTTGTATGCATAACCATTTTTTATAACCATCGTTTCGTGTTCGAATAAGCCGACATTTATAGCGATTAAGTAATGCAAGTGGTTTTTCTTTTTCCGAAAAAATAAACTTCACTTTGTTATTGACTTCCGTCTTGACTACTTAAAAATTTGATTTGTATGACACACCGCACTTTACAACTTAACACAAATGACAAAGTTACTGACTGGGGACTTGGTAAAATGTATAATGTTCAACGTGAATAATTAAGATAAGATATCGTATCTTATGATACAACAAACTTATCTGATAGGTATATGTAACGATTGTATCGCTGTTGTACGTTAAGCTTAACATGTTACTAAACAGACGGCTGGATTTTACCGTCCGGTTTTTATTTATAGAGTTCGATTATGGTAAACTGACAGTACCGTTTTTTGCCGGCATTGGTCAGTTCCCCAAGTACGCCGGGAGTTGGCTCCAGCACACTGCGTTTGGAGGAACCTTATGGAAATCCAGGGGCGGATTGGGCAACCGGGAATTCGGAAGTTTTCCCGGTGGGCCGCTTTTTCAAATAACTATGTATTCTTAAATTCCTATTAGGTACCAGCCCAGTAAATTTGCATTTTTTTCCCGATTTTTCAAAATAAGATAATACGAATTGGATTGCGGACAGTATGCAATAGTAGGTATATCAGGTAGGCAATCTATGATGGCACAACGATGAGAGACAGAAAGCAAAAATATAGTATTTTTCGAAAAGCAAAAACAGCAAATATTTAATGTAATATAGCGGGGTCACTAGTTAGGACAGTTAAAATCGAAAACAACCCTTGATATGTTATGTAAAACCACATTGGGTGATCTCTAGGTAACGACAAACTTCGGAAAAAGTCTACTTTACTTGACATCCCGTGGAAGTAGAAAATAGAAAAAGTCAACCTGATTTGAGCAGTAAGCACTGTAATATTCAAAAACTATGATTTGCTGTAACTTTTGAACAGTGTTTAAATTTCCGAAAAATGTTTTATACACTTTTTAATACTAATACAGTAGTACACGTATTTCGGGTGTAAAAAATTTGAGCGTCATTCGTTTGGGCGAATAATCCAAAATTAACTTGAGTAAAGCATATATCATTTGGGTCAGAAATTAACCGATCGTTTAGGCGAATTTATAAATTATTGAATAATAGGGAAGTAACATTACGTAGGTATACAATAATTTCTATAATATTTAGTTACTACAGCTAAATATTATTATTATATCGTTTCGGCTGATCGGTGAATACAGATAGTGAACGATAATTTGTTAGATTGTACTAAGACGGAGACAAAACATTTTACTCAATATTATATTACATAATAATACTAAAGGAAAACAAGACTATACAATTTTTCTGATGGTTTAGAATTGAAGTACCTACATAATGTTATTATGAATAAACCACAATAAAACATTTTTTTAGAAAATAAAGAAAAACACATACATTTTGCATGTTGATTCTGTAAATTTACCTATCAGGTATATTAAGTGGATTGTGGAAGTAAATTATAAGATTTTATTTAAGTCTAAAAACGCATTATTAAATATTATTGAATAGGTAATAACCTTTCTTATTAAATACAAAAATCGTAACATTAGTAATTTAAATTATTCACTTTTACTGTGTTATATATAAGTACTTGGAGTTTGGACTATTATAAATGTGTAAACATAAACTGTTCAAAAATAAAAATAAATTTGATATCGATGTATATACACTACGAATAAAGTTTTATAAATTTCATATCTTGCCAAACGTGTAGTTATGTTAAAATAGTAATACATAATAATATTATGTTGGCTAAAATTAAATATTTGGTAAATTGGTAAGCCGGTATACTTTGTATTTTCCCGGGCCGGAATCTCTCCCCAATCCGCCCCTGTGGAAATCTGACAACATTGCACTAAAATCTTGGGTACAAAACGTAAGGAATCGTGTGCCATAAAATGTGCACGACTCCGAACGCTGATAAGGACCGTACGGAATCGTGTTCTACCCCTCCGGTCTTGGTGGCTCATTTACATTTGCCTAGGCTGTGCCAGGGGTACGACACTCCGTGAATTGGTCGGATCGGGAGATTGTGGCCTTGAAAATGGTCTCTAAAGGGGCGTGGCATACGTTACAGTAAACAGTGGAAACAATTTTTCTATGCTGGAAACAACCCGACCCGCGCAGAATACCCTGCCTATTAATCGGAGACGGTTTTTCAATACGGGTATAACATCATGTTGGTAAACGGAAACAGTTTGAATGTTCGGACTTCAGATCATAGGTAAACACTTCACCCATCAGCTGATCGAGTGTCGCTTCTATATTGTTCTATGGCTGTGCTCCTGGCCCTCCTATGTTGACTCCTATGGTGGAATCCAGTTGCGTGTCACCCGGATATATCCATCATAAAGTTGTTATCCTTAAAGAAGTGAAAACTGCTGCCTCGTGCGATGATACGATTGCCAGGTGTACTTCTAATTAGCTCACAGAATTATGACCAAATATGGAATAGTCGAAGCTACGGTTGAGTGTAGTAATGTGTAACAATATTATATACGAGTATAATGTTAATATATTATAGTACATAAATCCTTTACAACTGGTCAGGGGCGAACGCATGGGCGGCTTTGGGGGTTAACAACACACACAAAATATTTTCCTGCGTTCACCACTTGTACTGATTATTTTAATTTAATTGTATTACCTATACACTGGTTAATTTCCACAGCTAGTGTTTCCATTGTCTCAAATGCCTATTTTTTAATTTTTGTTAATGTAGCTGCTACCTAATTAAGTAAAGAAAATTTGTATAAATCTATAGTGTATGAAATTAGGTATAATATTTTATATTTAAGTATCAAAATTGAAAATAGTAACCATGTAACATATAATAATCAAAAAGGGCAAGTTACAGGGGGTTGGGTAGCTAATATTGGTTTAATTATTCTGTTAAATTTAAATGCAATGTATAATTGCATTCTAAAAATTATTTTGAGTGCATTTTGACAACTTCTTACTTATAGTAGGTACCTATTTATAATAAAAAATTGTGAATAAGTATTTTCAACATTTTTGTATGTCAATAAGGAGCCCCGTACATTTCATTATAATCTCCACATATATACCTATAACACAACGTCATCACAAACGGACCCCATCCTCACCGGTGTTTCCGAATTGCGGACAAAGTGACAAAAACCATGTGAGTTGCGGACGAAATCTAAAAAGGTAACATACGAATTGCGGACACAAATATAAGATACTAATTTGCGGATAATGTTACAATATTCACGTGGTGAAATCAGTAGAATATCATATATACAGGCTGTTCTAAAAACTATGACGATTATTAATAATGACGATAATCTATAAATATTTTATAAACAATTTTTTCCACAAAATTAAAACAATCTATAATTCAACAACATTTCAAAAATAAAGATTGCTCTTTTGCAAGACACAAATATTTTTAACTCCACCTACCAATTTTTTTTTAGCTTTTGTCATAAGTTCTGAAAAAAGTGGTGAAGGGAAATATTTGTGTCCACAACTAACGTAGTTTTTATTAAAAAAGCTCTGTACGCAATTAGTATTATGACAACGAAGCTCGTGTCTGCAATTGTTATATTATAATTCCTAACCTGAATAATTCGTCCGCAACTAGTATGTGTCCACTGTCCATCCTCAAGACCTTCTATGTTAAGGGGATTGGAAGCGACGATTTTCTGTCTTTATCTAACACATGTGCAACATAGGATTATAGACGTGTTCTATTTCCAACGTACCGATTAATCTAATGAAGCGATAAGAATTCTGAAAACAGATTTTAATTTGTCGGCAAGTCTACTTGAGATCGACTTTCCCACATTTTCGATTTTTTGATTTAAACTTCTCCAAAAATTGAAATATGTAATTTTTTTAATTACTATTTTTAATATATCGTTTTTATGATTTTGGTGGGACAATATCAAAAATGTGGGAAAGTCGATCTCAAGTAGACTTGACGACAAATTCAAATCTGTTTTCAGAATTCTTATCGCTTCATTAGATTAATCGGTACGTTGGAAATAGAACACGTCTATAATCCTATGTTGCACGTGTGTTAGATAAAGACAGAAAATCGCCGCTTCCAATCCCCTTAAGATGGCGCTACACAGCATGCATTTTCTCTGTCTTACAAACGCATAACAATAAAATTGTACACTCAGCTCAGTTCACTCTAATTTTTAAACCAACAGAACTAAATGTAATCTGCTGAGTGTAAAATTTGCTATATTATGCGTTTATAAGACAGAGGTGTAGCGCACTCTTAAAAACGCAAAATTAAAATCTTCATTATTACACAAGCACTTCTTCTTAAAGTACTCCTCACCTACTACATTATACATATTAAATATTACTATACATTTTTAGC